GTGCTCTCAATCCCTGAGCCACATCTCCAGCCCTGAGATGTATTTATTTTTATCTGTATGAATGTTTTATGTGTATGTGTATGTATGTGTGTGTACCACATCTGTGCCTGCTGCTCTCAGAGGTCAGAAGGAGTTAGATGCCCTAGAACTGGATTTACAGACGGTTGTGAGGCACCATGTGGGTGCTGGGAATAGAACCTGGGTCCCCTGAAAAACAAGCGCTCTTAACTGCTGAGCCATCTCTCCAACCTCTGGTTTTCTCTTTTTAGGATTCGTTTAAGTGTGTGTGTGTGTGTGTGTGTAGGTGTGTGTGTGTACAGGTGCCTGCAGAAGCCAGAAGAGGGCACTGGGTCCCCTAGAGCTGGAGAAAAAGGCACTTGTAAGCTCTGTGACATCAGTTCTGGGAACCCAACCCACGTCCTGTCCTGAGTGCTCTTAGCCCCTGAGCCAGCTCTCCGGTACTGGGTTGGTAGTTTTTTGAGACGGGGGTTTCCTACAGCTCAGGCTGGCCTAGGACTCTGTGTGTCTGGAGCTTATCCTGGATTCTGCTTCTCTGGTCTCAGTCTCCCACACCCGGCTGCAGCTGTTAACTTCTAACCGTCTGCACTCCCAGACGACAGCACACGGACAGCCTGGTTCACCATGCCCTGGCATTCCTCTGGGCTCGGGTGGGCCAGAACACACATTTGTGCAGAAGTTTTGAAGTTAATCCCTAACTTGCTGCTTCCCTTCTACTGTTCTGGGACTCAGTTTCCCTCTGGGGTTTGAGAGATACCCTGAGGTTCTCTCTGGGATAAATGTAAGAAGGCGGGAGAGGCAGGGTCCCAGGGTCATATCTAAGAGGGAAGGCCATCGCAGGGTCAGGACAAGGGGCCAAGTGTCTGAAATGAGGGGATCAAGCTACAGGAAGATGCTGGTCGCTCTCTTGAGGTAGCTCATAGAAAGAACTGTTCCAAAGTTTGGGGTCCCGGCTCTGCACTCTAGCCTGTGTTCCTTGCTCTTGTGTCCTAGACCCTGCCCGGTCTTCTCATCGGTAACAAAGGGATGGCCTCGAGCAGTGCCGTGCTGGTACACAGCACACTCCCAGTAAATGTCGGCTCACACGCTTGGCACCCCACTTAAGCACCAGTGGAGTGAAGTGCATGAGGGCCCCCCAACCTGCAGGACTGCTGCCCCAACGCCTAATCTGGAGGCAGAGGTGGGGCCCCAAACTAGGCACCCATCTTTCTAAGTCTCCCACACCTACCTGGTCACCAGAGAGTGCGGAGAGGAGGCTGAGACAGAGAGACAGCCTGGGGTAGACATTAGGACCTGTCACTGAGAACTGGACATCCTCATCTGTACACTGGCCTCACACCCCAAGGACACAAGACAGGCGATCCCCTCCCTCTCACCCAGATCTGCCTGCGGCCCTAGAGCGCATGGAGCAGGCCTGTCCTCCAAGGCCCCAGCACTGGCCCACATGTGACACGGAGCAAGTCCTCTGTCCCTCTGTCTCTCTGACTGAGATGAGAGAGAATCTTTGGGTTTTTTTTTCTTTTAACATTTAAGATTTATTACTTATGTGTATGTGTGTGTGTTTATGAGTTTATGTACAGTACATGCATGTGTTCATGTGGCTATGGATGCCAGCACAGGATTCCCTGGATCCGGAGTTCAGGTGGTTGTGGTGTGAGTAACTGGGTGTGGAGGGAGAATCTTAGTGGCCCTGTCTCCATAGGTCCCAGGGAGCCACTGTCCTGGCTAACGCAGTTCTTGCCCATCCCCCTTCCCTTCTGAGAGGTTCTGGAATGTGGCTTCAAAGTCATGGGTAGTTGTGTCTCTGCCCTGTGTCACCAGCCCCTCCTGCAGCTTCCCAGATCCCCACCCAGGTGGTCAGCAGCATGGAGGCTCCAGGTCATACTGTGCTCCAGCCTCAGGCAAATGACCACGTACAGTCTAGGGACACCATTCAACCCTGGGGGAGGCTCAGGCCACAAGTGCCAGAAGCTTCCAAGTGAAATAACCAAATTACAGAGAAAGGTAGCTGCCCCAAACTGGAACAAAACGAGACACCACTTAAATATTCAACAAGGGGCTCACTGTTCAAACGATGGCTCAGGTGTGGGACAGAATATTCCAGAACTGCAAACGACCGTTATAGAGTCTAAGTGACATGAAAATAATATGCCACTTAAGAAGGGTCCACAAGACTCTCACATGTTCATCTGAAGGGTCAAAATTACCTTGCAAAGCCCAGAAGGCAGTTTATAGCTGCTAATAGTCCTGGGAGGGTTTTTTGTTTTTGTTTTTGTTTTTTTCAGTACTGAGGATTGAACCTGAAATATTCTAGAAAAATGCTCTGCCACTGAGTGACATTCCAGCCTTAATCAGTGTGTGTGAGTGTGTGTGTGTGTGTGTGTGTGTCCGTGTCCGTCCTTCCGTCCTTCCGTCCGTCCACCATAGCATGTAAAGGTCAGAGGACAACACATGGCGCTCTCCACCCTGTGGATTCTGGGGGTCAGACTCAGGTTGTCAGCCTTGGCAGCAGGCCTTTATTTGCTGAGTGGTCTTGTCAGCCCATTCACCTAAGATTTAAAAATTATTTCCCCCACTCTCTCTCTCCCCGACTCCATTCCCTTCCTCTCTCTCTCTTTGTTCTCTTGAGACAGGTCCTCATTTAGTCCAGCTTGGCCTTGAGCTTGATGTGAGCTCAAATTTCTGATCCTGCCTCTGCCTCCTGAGTGCTGGTGTTACAGGTGTGTCCACTGTGATTCCCCTCTCCCCCACTTCTCTCCCTCTCTCCCCCTCCCCTCTCTTCCCTCCCCCTTTGCTCTCTTTGCGGAGCCTTAGGCCACCTGCTAAGCATGGCTGTGCCACAGAGCTATATCCCAGTACCCCTCACTCATCTGTTTTCTTTGAGGAGCAAACACATGGTTAAGTGGCCTCTGTTTTGTTTTGTTTTTTTGAGCTGCTCTTTAAGAATCTCCATGCACATGCATGTTCTTTAAAGCGATTCCAGGGCTGGAGAGGTGGCTCAGTGGTTAAGAGCACTTGCTGCTCTTCTAGAAGAAGCATTCCTGGCACCGACCTGGAGGCTCACAACTGTCTGTACCTCCCTGGGCACACAGATATACACGCAGGTAAAAAATTATACACAAAAAATAACGAAACAAGTAAATCCAGGAAAAAGAATTTGTCTTAGGAAGCCCTCTGGAGAAAATCCCACGCTGGAAAACAGTCACACTGAGTGCACATCCTTCCAGAATTTTCTCTGTGCAAAACCTCAGCATCACTGTTTTATTAGCAGAAATGGATTGCTGTTTAGGGTCTTAACTGTATGTTCTATACATCTGTGTCGTAGCAAATGGATCCACTGGCTTTGTGGTTGCTGCTGGACAGCATTCTGTGACATCCTGACTTCTTCAATGAGACCCCTATTGAGGGACGTTTGGGTGGAATCTGGTTGTTGGGGTTTATTACAGGTGCTCACGGGCCACACATCCTTACAGAGGTGACAAGTAACTCTCTAGGGTTGACTTTTTAAAAAAAATATTTATTTAACTTTATTTTGTGTGCATGGTGTGAAGGTGTCAGATCCCCTGGAACTGGAGTTACAGACAATTGTGAGCAGCCATGTGGGTGCTGGGAATTGAACCCAGGTCCTCTGGAAGAGCAGCCAGTACTCTTAACCGCTGAGCCATTTCTCCAGCCCCAACTTTTTCTTTTAAGACCGAATATTACTATGTAGCCCAGGCTGGCCTTGAACTCACTATGTACCTAAGCTGGCCATGAACTCAGTGGATACCACAGCCTCAGCCTTCCAAGTGCTGAGATTACAATTGTATGTCACCACACCCAGCTCAGGCTGACTTTTGAAATTGAGGTGTGAGAGTAAAAAGTTATACACAAGTTGTAACTTTAGAAAATTCTACTGAGTTGTGCCCCAGAAGACTGGGTCCAATTTTGCCCCTCCATCCTGAGGGGATGTATACAAATGGCTGCCACCCCATCCACTGAGTTCTGTGTGCTAGGCAGCCAGGGCTACACAGTGAGACCTTTTCTCAAGAAACAAAATAAAAGTAAGTTGTGTGTGTGTGTGTGTGTGTGTGTGTGTGTGTGTGTGTGTGTGTATAAATGTGTGTGATTTTTTTTTTAACTCAGGACCTTCCATATGGCAGCCAAGAGCGCTACCGCAGAGCTACCCACCCAGGAAATAACCATCAGAACTCACTACTTCCTAACTATTTTACTCACTTTACATCATCCACAGTCCAGTGGCTCCCAACCTCCCTGATGCTGACACTTTAATACTTCATGTTGTGGTGACCCCCAACCACAAAGTTATTTCGTTGCTACTTCATAACTGTACTTTTACTACTGTTATGAATTATAATGTAAATATCAGATAGACAGGGTATCTGATATGCGACCCCTATGGGCTCGAGACCTACAGGTTGGGAACTGCTGCTCTACCCCCTTTGAGGGTGTCTGTGCCTCGGGTCTGTAGGGGAGAGAGGCAATTGCTGTGTGCCACTGAATTCTAGTTTCCAAATAAGAACTGAGGGGTAGTGGATTGAAATCAGCCCTGAGGGAATATTCGCACCACCGTCATCGGCCTACCTAAAGTCTGGAAAGTTACCTAGACTCTGACACCTCACCTTCCACGCGACAAGTCAGACCCTAGAGGTCTTCCATGCCTCCCCAAGCCCAGAGGAAGAGCACTTGGAGTCCTGACCCAGGCTGGGGTCAGGCGCTGTTATAGTAGGTGGACTTGGACGGTCAGAGCCTCCATTTTCTCTTCTGGGAAATGGGGTAATCGTGGCAGCCATCTTGCAGGTCACATGTCAGAGTAAGGATTCTGGGGCCACAGGCATAGAGTCAAATCCCTGCAAAGTCACTCAGTGCCTCTAGACTCAACTTCCGGTTGACCAACGAGGTGGTGACAGATTTCCCATCCATTACAGACTGTAAGATGCAGGGGTGGCCCCATCTCCTCCCCACACTCCTGCCGTCCGGCAGCCCATTCCAGTCCTTGGACAAGCCCCTGAATCTGCAGGTGGGCAGGTAGCTGGCTACAGGTAGGGGTGACCGAGGAGCAGGCCCTACTGAGACCGACCGTGAGTGAGACTGGGGTCCGGGGTCCTCACCACCCCTCCTGAGGTCACTTTTAATTGTCAGCCTGGCTGAGAAGACCCACAGAACCCTAAATGAGCCTGTGTCCTTCTTGAGAAGGGGAACAGAGGCAGGGCAGAGCATGTGGCCTTTGTGGGTTCAGTGGGGTTCCGGGAGTTGGGCAAAGCCCGGGAAAAGTGGGAAGACTTGAAGCTGGTAACTCTTTGGACAAATGATGTCACCATAAGCCTTTACTACAGCACCCCTGCCCCCGCCACCCGCGGCTCAGAGGTCTCGAAGTCATCCCCCAAGATGACACCAGGAATTAAGAAGGTCAAAGTTGGATCCAGAGCCTAACTTTCTCCCGTGCCCCCTCCTGAACTTCCTCAAATGGGAAGCTCAGAGAAGGGAAGGAGGACTCCCAGCAATTCTGACTCCTGGCCTTCTTGATCGCTGAACCAGCAGGTGCCAGGGCTAAAGTGAACAGCTTATCCCGCCAGACTTTTAACGCTTAAGTCTGGCGTCCTGTGAAATCTTTCAGTCCCAGAGTTGAAATAGTTGGTGATCCCATTCCTGCATCCTACCACCCTGGAGGTGGCTTTACCAGCTGTGAGCTCAGGACACAGGATTAAGACCTGGAACACCCAGGGCCTGGTCTGGGCTGTGTCCCCAACCACGGGGCGCTGGACACTTACTTGTGGGCACGAAGCTGTAGATGGCCAGCAGCAGGGTAATGGCCAGAGGGAGCATGCCACGGTCCATGCTGTCCACCCGGGAGTCTCTGCGCTGGGCCTTATCCGGTGTCCAGAGGCAGGGCTGCGGGTGGGCGCCGGGGCCGGCGTGGGTTCGCACGGGGACCCGAAGGGAGCAGGCGGCCGGAGCGACCACGTCCCTGCTCCAGCCTTCTGAGGTGGCGGCTGAGAAGTCAGGAGAAGTGAGCTGGAGACTCACAGCAGGGCAGGGGTCTCTAGCTGACTGGATGGTGGAAAAGAGACACTGGGCTCTTTTGAACAGCAGCCCGCAGCGGTCCTGGCCTGGGGACGGGACGCAGAGGGAGGTAGGGGTCTGACCGTCCTCGGCAGGGGAGCTCAGCTCATCCAGCCCGGCCCAGAGAGGCAGGAAATGCGCTTCCTTAGAGAAGGGGCCGGGCCAGGCTGTCTGCCAGGCGCGTAGAGGAAGTGCCACTGGCTTTGTGGCTGGGTGGGGGGCCCTGGGGTGGGGGAGGCAGGGTGATGGGAGGGCCCAGTGGGCAGACCTCCCCCCATGCACCTCACCCCCCATCTACCCTTGCCAAGGCTTGCCGGTGAGGGCACATCTGGGAACCTGACAGGGGTCAAGTTCTGGATGAAACCCCAGTAACTCAGGTTCCTTCTACAGATGAGGAAAGTAGTGATGGACCAAGATAGATGGTGCCTGGGATTCTAGCTGGTCCGTGCCAGCATTAATCCAGAAGCATTCCTCTTGGCTGTGCCTCTGTGTTACAGACAGGGAAACTGAGGCCCAACATGAGGAAGACATATTCCCAGGTTAGCATAAGAGCAGCTGAGACTGTACTCGCTGGGCCCGGAGAGGGTCACAGAGACCCTCAGGGTCCACACAGTTCCAAAGGCACAGAACATACAGTTGTCTTTGGCGGCACACACCTCTAGTCCCTGCCCCATGGAGGTCAAGGCAGGAGGGCTGTGAGTTGGGGGGAAGCCTGGGCTATACATAGTGAGACCTGTCTTGAAGGAGGGACAGGCACAGACTTTCCTGGCATCTCTGAAGTCAGGTGGCCTTGGGTTTGGATCTGGTTTGCTCATTTCCAGCTGAGACCTGGGGCTGAGACCTTAATCTCAGTTCCCTGTTTGTGATACAGGGCACAGCTGTGTCCTCTGGCCCAGGCTCTTGGGAGACTTTCTGAGGACCAGATGCTAGCTACAGCTCTGAGCCCTGGGCCAGGTCCCGCAGAAGCTGCTTGCCAATCCATGCTCCCTCAGCTGACAATCCCAGAATGCCCCGTGCTCATTTTGCTAATAGTAAACACAAAAAGTGTGCCACCATGTTCCTAGGTGGCATTTAGAATCAAGCCCCGGAAAACTTAGAGACAAAAGCCTGAACTGCCTGGAGGGGTGTCGGGAACGGGGGAATACAGACACTGGCAGCCAGCGGAGGCCAAGAAAGGACCAGGTGCCTAAGGCACCGAAGAAGGGAGACCCTGGGTCATCCTGGGGCAACTGCAAAGGTGCAGAGAGGTTAAGGAGCCCATCTCGGGGGCCTGAACACAGGACTTTCTCCCTGCGGCCAGTGGGAGTCACTTGTCTGGAGGAGGGAGAAGCTGGAGTGGAGACCTCGGGAGTGTGGCCCCGGGATCTCAGGTCTGGTCCCTAGGTGCCCTCCGGTGTTCTATGCCTCAGTGGCCAGGCCAGGCAGGCAGTTGGTCTCTACAGGGGCTGACAGGAAGCAGGGAGAGAGGGTCCTGGAGGCAGGCTGGAGGGAGGTCAGCTTTCTCTCACCCAGGCAAGCATGTGAGACCTAGCTCACCAGGCGTCTCAGGGATGACAGGCTCTGCCCTTCCCTTCAGCCCGTGGAGATAGCAGATAGACACGGGGACTCCAGAAGGCAGAATGGGGGTGGTGGCAGGTGGGGTGGTGGCAGGGTGGCTGTGAGCTGTTCTCTACATGCCCTAACAGTTTGGGGGACAGTCAGCCCAGCCCCGGGACTAAACCCCACACCAGGGCCCACCCTGGGCGTTCACCTTATCAGTACCGAATTGTCGCCATTGACGAGCAGTCTGCTCCTCTGGGCTTTGTTTCACACAGGTGGAGAGCAGCTTGCTAAGGAGCACAGCGTGGACACCTCGTGGCTTCCTGCCCTCTACCCAGCTCCATGCCAGCCGCAACAGCTGAGCTGAGTAGCCTGAGGGGGCAGCCGGTACAAAGACTCACAGGGTGAGATGACAGCCAGGGGACCCTCTGGACCCTCAGATCAAGGCTTTGTGTCCTAGGCCCTTCAGAGACGGGCTGGCCTGCCCCTCCGGGGCTTCTTAACTCTCCACATGCACCCTGCCGTCTCAGGGTGATCCAGTCACTTCCTACTTCCCTACCTTAGCCTAGGCTTGGTTCCCTAGCCTTGTTTTTGTTTTTTAGTTTTGAAACAGGGTCTCACTGTGTAGCCTGGCTGTCCTGGAGCTAGCTTTGGAGACCAGGCTGACCTCAACTCTTAAAGATCTCCCGGCCTCTACCTCCCGAGTGCAGGGATTAAAGATGCCTGGCTCTCAAGGACCCTTCCCAAGGCCTCTGCACTGCACTACCATCTCCATTTAGATCATAAAGAAGACCCAGTGTCTTCTCCAGAACACAGGGGAGGCTCCAGGCTGGCACAGAGGGGAATCTCTGGAGCGGCAGCTAATGGGACTCACCTATAATCCCAGCTCTTCACAGGCAGGAGGATGACCACAAGTTTGAGGCCAGCCTAATCTACACAACAAGGTCTAGCCTGCTCTAGCAAGACCCTGTCTCAAAACACCAGGAAGGAAAGAAAAGGGCAGAGGGGTCTGCAAGATGGCTCAGGGAACCGAAGTGCTTGCCACTAAGCCCGACAACCCGAGTTTGATTCCTGGGGCCTACATGAAGAAAGAAAGGAACTGACTCCCCAAAACTGTCATCTGACCTCCACATGCATGTCCAAACACACACACATATAAAAACACAATAAGAAATAAAATGGAATTTAAAAATGTAAAAAGACAAGAACCAGGGAAAGGAAGCCTACCCATAGGCTTTAGGGGGCCTGACCAGAGACCTTGAGGGAACGAAGGGTGTAGAGCCACCAGGTCTGGAAGCTTTGAACACAGAGGGGTCCCTGCCAACTCGAAGTCTGGGGGGTACCTCAAGGCCCAGTGCACATCACTAAAAGTCCCAGGAGGGCAAGGACTTTGATGGCCTCAGCTGCTTTGTCCCTTCACAGAGCCAAGGGACTTGGTTTCTTTCTTTCCTGTCCCCCCCCCCCCCAAGACAGGGTTTCTCTGTGTAGCTCTGGCTGTCCTGGGACTAACTCACTTTGTAGACCAGGCTGGCCTCGAACTTACAGAGATCCACCTGCCTCTGCCTCCAGAGTGCTGGGATTAAAGGCGTGTGCCACCACCGCCCAGTGGGACTTTGTTCCTTAAGATACTTTACCTTTTTCTGTAAGGATGGAGAAAGCTGGCTTTCAATTTGCAATCCCCCTGCCTTAGACTCCTAAGTGTTCAGCACTGTGCACAGCAAGACAAATTTGTTGAAACCCTGAGGTGCCCTGGAAGTGGGACTGAGGAGTGTAGAATGGGGAAACTGAGGCACAGAGGCAAAAGTCTTGTTTCTGATCTCTAGTACATAGACCAGTCGTGGGCTGGCTCTTCTGTCCCCAGCAGCTCGGTGATCACAGCACCGGTCACAGATTGAGCAAAACTATGGTTTGCTTCCAGCATGCTCTCTCCCTCTGGGGCCATATCCACCTTCCTACTCCCTGGCTCCCGAAGGACAGACAAGGGCAAGAGAAAAGGGTACATCCTTTGGCTTTGTCCCCCAAAGGCTGACCCCACATCAGAGGCCTCTCTCCCCTGAAGATCATGACCTAGCCAGGGTCCATCCTACAACGCCCAGGCACTGGGTCCCTCTCCTCACCCATCAGGCCAAGCAGTCATCTGCACAGGGTGAGAGTTTCCTGCCCCGACCTGTGTCCATATACCCCTCACTGCAGTCTCTCCAAGCTGTCCCTTGGGAGCCAGCCATCTGTTTCCTGCCCTGATCCCAATGCAGATGTTCTCGGGTCCCTCCTGTGCATACTCCAGGAGACACATGGCCCCCGGCCAGGCCCTGTGCATGGCCCCCACAACAGGCTCCATCTTCCTCCTGGCCGGGCCAGAAGGCCTGAGCAGCCAGCAGGAAGGGATGAAGCACGTCTACCTTGGCCCCTGGCCACCAAAGGAATGTCAGGCGGCCCCTAAGGACCCCAAGGCGGCTGCGAGTCTCCAGCACCGGCCAGCCTCCAGGAGCTGTTGATCTCAAACAGCAGGCCAGATCTGCTCAGGCATGGGGAGGGCAGTGCTAGGCCAGGAGTCTGGGTACCTGACTCTGCCCCATGCCAGCCAGGGAGCCTCGGCAAGGCTTTTCTATTTTCAGGGCCCCAGTGCCTTCGGCTGCACAGCGGGAAGGCAGCCAGCTAGCCTGTGGGGATTCAAAGAGCAAGACCAGGATGAGACGCTCCTCCACTCACGAGCTTACCAGGCCCAGCGCCAAATGCGGCTTCACAGCTCATCCTCACTTTACGATGGGAGACACACAAGGCCCAGATGCACAAGGACTCGGGACCGGAGAGACAGAGGGTGTGTAGGGCTGGACCCTTTAGAGAGGCAGAGGATATGCAAATTTCAGCCTGTTGCTGTTCCCTTGTTTCTAGAACCTTCTGTCCTGGTTTCCTTCCTACATTCCAGATCACCTTATCTGTCTCCTACTGGCTCCCCTTCAGCCCCCTCAGGCTTGGCCCTTGCACCCCTTCCCTTTGCTGTTCACTCTTACTTCCAAATCAGGATTTCTCAGACCTTGGTGACCAATGACATCATGTTCTAGCCCGGTGACAAGTCGCCCGGGGGACTTGGGCTCAGGTAAGGAGGGGGCAGACCTCTGTGAACTTGTCTGTGCCCGTGACGACAATGCCCTGGAATAGCACGTGTCCTGTGCTGTTTCCACAAGCTGCTGGACTTCTGTGCCCATCAACGGGTCCTGACCATAAAACAATGTGCTGGGCTCTTCCTAGTCTACGGGCTGAGGTGGAAGTAGAGACACTCAGCTGGGCATGATGACACATGGTGACACAGGCCTATAGTCATAGCTAGTGCTCCAGACACAGGTGACCGTCCGTGAGTCCAAGGTCAGCCTCGTCTGCATCTTGTCTCAGAAAGCCAGGCCGGGGATGCAGATGACTCTGAGGTTAGGAGAACTTGCTGCCCTTGCTGAGGAGCCTGGTTTGGTCCCCAGTGGCTAACACGCTCCTCTAACTCCAAGTCAAGGGATCTAACACCTTGTTCTGGCTTCCGGAAAAGGCACACACATGGTGCACACACACAGGCAAAAGCATCATACACATAAAGAAAAAGCATTTTTAAAAAGAAAGCCAAACCAGGGCATAGGGGACAGGTAGAGTCCCTTGGAGCCAAGCCTGGTGACTTGAGTCTGGTCCTCAGAACCTACATAATGGAGGGAATAACTCCTGTAAGTCGTTCTCTGATCTTCATGACACGGCATTTACACACACACACACACACTCACACACACACTCACTCACATATACTCACACACACTCACACACATACACTCACACACATACCATACACTCACAAACACACACACACACACACTCACACACACACTCACACACACACACACACTCACTCACATACACTTACACACACACATACCATACACTCACAAACACATACACTCACAAACACGCACACACACACACTCACACACACACACACACACTCACTCACATACACTTACACACACACACACACATACCATACACTCACAAACATACACTCACAAACACATGCACACTCACACACACATACACTCACAAACACACACACTCACATACACTTACACACACACACATACCATACACTCACAAACACATACACTCACAAACACATGCACACTCACACACACATACACTCACAAACACACACACTCACAAAGCATTTTAAAAAGCCAAACTGGATCTGGGGTGTAGCTCAGTGGACAGTGTGCTAATTGAGGAAGCACATGTTTGCAATCCCAGGACTCAGCAGGCTGAGGCAGGAGGACCAGTTCAAGTTCATCCTCAACTACACAGTGAACACCAGGTTAGCCTGGGTTCTATGAGGCTTTATTTAAATAAACAAACCCAAACCACATTAATCTGACAGACGTACACTTCCTCAGCATCTCTGGGGACAGTTTCGCATGTTTCCCCAGTTCAGAACTGGAAAAATTCTGTTCCCAGTGGAACCATGCCGACAAAGTTTTCCGTGCCTGGTGGACATGAGCTCCTCCCCCCGCCCCCCACACACACACACTCTCCCCAGCTCTGAGTCCCTGTGCCCCAGCAGGGTTCTAATCAGTCTCATAAACTGCGGGCTCAGTCTCTCTTGTCACTACAGCCCTCTGCCTGTCACTCCCAGCAGCCTCCCACATGACCCCAGGGCCGTCAGAACAGGCTGTCACCCAGCCCTCTGCAACTATTCCCTCTGGGGACAGCGAGGTCATCTCCGTACTGAGTTCTGCTTCCTTCTTCCTTCGCAGCCCTTTCTCCTGTGACCACGGAGGCCGCTTCATCCTTGCTTCGCCTGGCAACCATCGCACTCAGAATTGAAAAGCCGAGACTTCTCAAAGGACACAAGAGCACCCCTCACCTTCCCTTCGGCCTCCCGTTCTTCTCCCTGCTCCTTGTTCACGCCACCCCAGCGACACTGGCTCTGTTTCTCGAATGTGCTGAGCAAAATGTTCCTACTCCCTTTGTCACTGGGGACCACAAGCTTTTCTCCCCTTTTCAGTCTCCTCTCAAACGGCACGTGGTCAGCAAGGCTTCCTCTGACCATTCCTTTTAACATTTATTTAATTTTATGTATATGTGTGTGTGCCTGGGTGCACCTATATGTACCACACAGGTGCAGTGTCCAAGGTGAAGAGGCATTGGATCTCCTGGAACTGGAGTTACAAATGGTTGTGAGCCACCAATTGAAATTCAGGTCCTCTGCAAGAGCAGCCAGTGCTCTTAACCACTGAGCCATCTCTCTAGCCCTGACCATCCCTTTTAAAATGGCCTCTCCTGATGGCTCAGCCTATAAGAACACTGGCTGCTCATCCAGAGGACCTAAGTCCAGCCCTTCATGGCAGCTCACAACCATCTGTGACTTAAGTTCCTGGGAATCCAAAGTCCTCTTCTGGCCTCCTTGGGCACCAGGCATGTTCATGGTGCACAAGATATGTTCACAGGTAAAACATCTGTACATAAAATAAAATGCCTCTCTCTAACGAACAACGGCTTTCAGGCCACTGATATGTCGTCCTTCCCATCAAGAGCAGAAGTGTCCTGAGGTCAAGAGCTATGCTGTTTCTCTTTCTTTCTTTCCTTCTTTCCTTTCTTTCTTTCTTTTTCTTTCTTTCTTTCTTTCTTTCTTTCTTTCTTTCTTTCTTTCTTTCTTTCTTTCTTTCTCTCTCTCTCTCTCTCTCTC